TGTAATATTAAATCACTCAGTTTTTAATCCCACTCCCACGGAACTCCCTGAATCTCTAGTATCCCACTGTTCTACTATGGAGTTTAAACTTCAGCTCAGCTTTGGCAATAATAGATCCGTATTGCATATTTTCAATTGTTACCTTCAATCCTGCATCCTCTCCAGCCATCATTCCCCATTCTCATAGACATTTAGCTTTTCATGTACATGTCTTTCTCATGTACATTCAGGTTTTTGCATTTTTATACTGCGAACTATAGAGGACTGTGATTGGGAAAAGTATTCAAGTCCCTAAGACAAGTGCAGATAGCACCAAACACCTCAGAGAAGCAGTCAAAAAACTATGTATGTCTCTGCCACACATCTAAGTTCACTTCCTTTCATGCTAAGGTGATGACTCATCTCACCTTACCTAATTTATCTCAGAATCAGCCATCTCCACCTGAACTGCTCACAAAGACTCTTTTCAGAGCCACCGGAGAGGAACAGGCACCTTCAAAGAGCAATTCATGCATCATCTCAGGAAGAACTGAACTGCCCCTGTAGGTAACTCCTTCTCTGCACTGGCCCTAAAGGAAGCCTTTGGTGAGCTCAGATTGAAACGTTTGATTTTAGGGGGTCTAAATTAATCCTATTTTAAGATAGGATTAAGTAATTAATCCTGTTTTATCTATTTAAATGTGTGGGTTAGTTCCACAGTTGCTACTTGAGAATCAAAGGGCACAAATTTCTCTGGTTCTCTACGTGCTGTGAAACCAAGAAGCTGCTCAGGGCTTTAACCGATTATCAAATCATTCAATGCCACTGCATGCTTTACTATCAGGAAAACGAAAAGCCACAGCTTACTTAAGGAAACTTAAGTACTTAAGGAACTTAAGGAAAAATTTCTTAACAGTGAGGGTGACAGAGCACTGGAACAGGCTGCCGAGAGAGGTTGTGGAGTCTCCTTCCCTGGAGATCTTCAAAGCCCGCTTAGATGCAGTCCTGTGCCATGTGCTCTAGGTGACCCTGCGTGTGCAGGGGGGTTGGACTAGATGATCTCTAGAGGTCCCTTCCAACCCTAAGCATTCTATGATTCTATTGCTCTCGTCTAGCAGAAGGGAGTTTTCAGCACTAGCATTTTGCTCACAGACTAAGGTGAGTGTTGACAGGTATAACTCATTATTGAATTGCTTCAGATAAAATTGGACCTTTAGTCACACAGCATTTTAAAGTAGCAAGAAATCAACAGTATTTCAATATCTGCTAAGCAGCCTCTGTATATAAGCACTATAACGTTACTTAATTTCATGATAGTAGGTGTAGAAGTTCTGCATACTTAGATTAAAGATTGGGAATTTTACAGGTAATCAAATCAGTAGTGATGATCTTGTGTTCTTGAGAACATAAATGAAGAATACAACATTATGAAGGCAATTGATGGTTTCTGCTGAATTTCTGCCAGGATTGGCGTCCATCCTAAGACAGCTAAAAGATAAAGAATTTAGGATAAGGTTAAATATATAGCAAACATATCATGCAGCATACAAAGAAAAAATGACAGGCTGTAGTTAGTTCTGAGAACCAACATCCTGATGTGTTTCCTTCACAGTCTGTATGACTTCATTGGGTCCTCTTCCCAGCTGGGTAAAGATGACAGTTCTGTAGATAACTCTGTCTTGATGGGCCATCCCCAGCTCATAAAAAAAGGAGCCAGGTTTCTGTTCACCTGATGAGAAAACTTTTGTGCCCACAAATTCATCTTAGAAGAGTTGTCCTTTGGGATGGCGGACACTTTCTGGTAGTCAGAGAAGAGGTGAATGAATGGCTCCCAACCAAAGCCCTCCTGCAACTGAGGAACAAGAATATAGAGTGTGAATTAAAGAAATAAATAAAAAATAAATTCTCATTTCATAAACATTATTCCTGTGTTACAAGTAATAGAAACTTCCACAGGTTTCTGCAATGTCTTTTGGAAAAGGAGTAAAGTTAGACAAAGTCATCAAACTTTCAGATCATAACTTACAGCACTAATGTACAGAAAAAAAAAAACAAACCAAAAAAAATATTCCCACTCTATTGGCCTGCAACAGAGACAATAGGTGCATTGGGGACAGATAGAAATGTCAGCACTCATCAGCAATCAACTATGCAAGCTGATGATTTCTGCAGAATAAAGCTTCTTGTGCAGAGAAAAAACATCAGTAAGGACTCAGAGAACCTGGACAGAAGGAAGATAAGAGAACAAGGAGTTGTCGGAGAACGGGAAGGAGAGATTGTGGGCAGATCATGTTTTGTCTAGGGGTAAGAACAAAGGGTGAAGCTACTCTAATGAGTTTCAAGAGGGAGGAGAAACCTATTTTGTTGCTCAATACAAGGTAAGCATGGAGAGGTCAGTTGGAACAACGGCATGACAGGAAGCAGAACGTGCAACACACTTTGACACTAATTTGACAATAAAATGTATTCCACAAATCCTCCATCCTGCTGGAACAGCTAAGCAGTGGCAGACAACATTTTTACATTAGGCAGAACAAGCAGGTTTTCTGCCTCTCATGTTCCTATGTATACATGGAACCACCCTGGTGCTGAGACTAGCTATGAATTAGGCAAGATTTGGGGGTAGGAAGGTTGGAGAAGGTAAGAGAAGGAAGGGTCTGGTTTTGCACAGGGCCAAAAGCAGAGAGAGAAGTTACACAGAAGGCTCCTCATACGGACTGTTACATCTGACCTGCTGAATGCAAGAGCATCTCCTAGATTCTGAGTTCAAGTATTCAGGTGGTTCTCAGCTACATGTCACAACATGAGCAGAATTAAAACTATCTGTTCTCTCCCTCACAGCCCATCTTCTACTGGAAGAAAACAGTAAGGAACTGGGGAGAACCCGGATAGAAGGAGGACAAGAGAAGAAGGAGTAGTCAGAAAACAGGAAGGAGAGATTGTGATCTCGGCCCCAGGGGAGGGGCTGAGGAATATTCACCTTACAGCAGTCAACAGTGTAAGTCATCATAATGGACACTCAGCTGTAAATCTCAAATTCAAATCAAGCTGAATGCTCTCTCGACTAGACTACTGGCTGCTACAGCGAGTATGGGGAAGACCTCTCTCACATGCTTCTTGTGAGAGCACACCTTAACCTGGACAGGGCTCTTGATTTAGAGTCCTTACCTGCAAATATGTCTCCAGTGCAGTCCACATTTCCCAGTGCTTTAGCTGAGCAGCCTTCTTCAGATACCCTCTTATCCTTTCTTCCCGACAATTTGGCCTAAGTGCCTTATGGGCCTCATGCCTAGGAATCCCCAGCACCTTCTCATGCACATAGACAGACCAGAGATTGCAGGTAGCTTCTGTAGTATGAGGGGGAAATTCCCATGCTTGCTGCTGCTGATTGTGTCCCAGCTCGTGGACAGGACCCCAAAGACCAGTGGTTTTCATGTGCTTCATGTCCACCATCTCCTTCACAGAATCTAGGTGGCCCATGATGGGGTAGCCAGCATGCATCCAGCCTGCAGGAAAAGGCAGGTATCAACACACAGAGTAATTCCTTATTCCAGTACCTCTTAGGTATAAAGGACCTTTCCTCCATCTCCCAAACCGCACTTTGTAACCACAAGTGACAATCTTTTCCTTTTTTGAGATAAAACTACAAACTTCACCTCAACAGACAGACAAACAACGGGTGTAAGGCTAACACTGAACTCTCAATTAGGTGCAGTTTTGCCTACTTGCTCAGGACAGATATGAAATATCTCAAACTGAGCACAGTGAGGTCAGTCCAACCATGCAATAATGTAATTCAGCACTCTGGCAGCACTTGACTCTTCCTGTGTAAATATTGCAAGTCTAAAAAATTTATCTGCATCATGCTGGGTGAGAATTTGGCACTGCAAGGGATTTTACTCAAGTATCCTGGGTGGCTTCACCCCTAATTTGCCCTTGAAGATTCCCAAAAATTCATACGAGAGTCATCTCCCCAAACACCTATAACTGGATAAGTTAAACAGTCCTTTACACTCACCACAAAGGGAGCCTACATAACGGGTTTTGACTGAACACAAAGCTTGCACACTAGCCAAGCTAGAGGACATGAATCACATATTCCTTGTTGCAGAAACTATTTAAGATCTTGCGTTTCCCTGAAGGGGAACAACACTACAGCAAACCCTCCCAACCCCAAAATTTCAAGTTGAAAAATGTGAATGTAAACATTTACACAATCCACACCACAAGGGAATTTTGAGTCTGCAGACTATGGTAATTTTAACTGGCATTTTCCCAGGACAGGAGAATTTAACACTGTCAAAAGTGCAAAAAATTATTTCCATGTGGTCTAGCGAGGGGTTAAGACATCAGGGCTCATGCCAAGCCCTTATGTTCACTGTATGATGACTTAACCAGCTGGCTTTGAGAAACAACTGAATAACAATAGCATTGCAAGCTTCCACATTCACCATCTAACTGACTCTAAATCAAATGGACTTGATTCACAACTTCAGAAGTCAGGGTGGGGATGTGGGTGAGCATCGGTGTAAAACTACAAACTCGGCCTTTGATATTGATGCACAATCTGTTTCTCCTTTGCCATGTGTTTTTCAGGCTAAGCTTTGGCCATGGCAACCCGATGCACAATCTGTTTCTCCTTTGCCATCAGCTCGGAAACATGTGTTTTTCAGGGTAAGCTTTGGCCATGGTAACCGCTGTACAGCCTGTCTCCAGCAGGCCATACAACTACAAATTATTGTAAGCAAACAGTCCTGTAATTGAGGCAGGGAAAAACAGAAACCAGGTCACTATCTCCCAGATACACTGTCCCTGCAGTGCATGCAGGAAGGAGAATGAATAACTGCATGTGGCCAAAACCACTGCAGTCAGCAGCTCTGCCTCTCAGAACACTTGGAGAGGCAGAAAATCTGAGTGGGTCGATACCACTTTTGAAAGCAGAGGGGCAACTGCAAGAGTCAATGTGTTTTACCACGTTTCTATCTTGATGGAGCAGCTCAGTTATGCAAGGCTTGCACCCCTTATATAAGTTTGTACTCCAATTTTAGCACAACAACCTCAAAGCAATGGACACTGCTGCTAGAGGCCACTTCCCTCTGCGCTCCCAGAGAAGGCCATAAAGCAATACACCTACCACATGAGATCTGGACATCCGTAACAATCCTCTCTGGCCTTGGGAATTTTGTTGGTATGGCCGCCAGCGTGCTTATTGCCACCATGATCTCATCCCACAGGCTCAGCAGTGGCTTTGGGTTCTCTATGTGGCGAACGCTGTCAGCTGGCACCGTCAGGATAAGGTTCTCAACAGCTAGTTCTGCCCAGGGAGCAGGGTAATGCCGGATACAGGCCTGCCACTGTTTTTCACAGGTCTCCCCTACATCAACACAGAAAATCAGTTTTGAGCACACTCCCAGAGGTCAAGCCACAGAAACATGTGCTTCAGAGGTCTCCTCAGGGCTCTTGTGCAGATAGCAGACAGATAGAAAAGGACTGTCTTACACTCAAGACACAGCAAGAGCAGATATCTGCTTCCTATCTGAGAAAAAGAAGCAACAAACTTTTCTGGACTCTCTTAATGTTCTCCTTTTTTGTTCTTCAACAGAGAGATAACAACACTGATTTTTGTTTATTCTGACAGAGGAGCAAAAAGAAGTTCCATACAACAAGAGAAGGGAAACTGATGGAAATACAGGAAAATCCATCAGTTGAGAGATTACTACTTACTTGTAGGGACCAGAGATGGTCATATGGGTGCATCCATATGGCAGGCATATGGCAAAGCAAATTTGGGATTTTGCTGAAAATGACAACTCCAACCTCTAAGAAATGTCATTTTGGACAAATAGTGCCCATTTCACGACAGCCCTCTCACTTGCCTCCCTCCACATAGCAGTACCCAGGGTTTCAAGGCAAGTCAAAGGAAGACAAAACAAGAAAACTAAACCTGGGCTAAGGTCAGCGGCCCTGAAGTTACAAGAATAACAGCATCTATGAGCAGTGCTAAGGACAAGGGCACCAAATAAACCTACCAAGCTTGAAGAAAGGAGCTCTCACTGCCCCTTCTACAGTGATGGACAGTTTTCCCAGGACGCTCTTTCCTGGCACTGTGATGTAAATAAGGCCACCCCAGAGGCAGGAAACAGACTGCTTCTGGCAGGTAATATCACAGGTGCGAATCACCACTGGAGCCCGTTTCAGCTGTGCAGCATGAGAGAGGTCATCCGCATGACATCCAATCTGCACCTGGCAAACAGAAGCGTAAGAAGAGCTGAGCAAAGCACTCCAAGGGCAAGCTGACAGGCCACAGCACTCTGAAACCCTTGGTGCAGGATTGTCCTTTAAGGGCACACATACAAAAGCAGCCTTCTGACTCCAACCCTACTCAAGCTTTCCAGCCTGTGGTGAGTAGAAGCAGCAAAACAAGTGGGAAAAACAACAACAACAACAAATGATAAAGTTCAGTGCTGTCCCTGTCAGTTTTCACCTCTTCTGCCTTTTTCACTGTCAGCAGTGACTTCCCTCACTAGAGCACTGTACCGATCTTTTCTTCACTCTTCACCAGAACTGAAGTCATACACAAAAAGGTGAGGTGAAGAGATCGATCCCTGCTGACTTCCCTTTTTGTGCCTCTTTCGTGGTAGTGATACAGTGAAACAGACAGCATGGAGCTGCAAAATCACACAGAAGGACCTGAGTTAACATCGGGTTTCAGCTACATGGAGCTTTCTACAAAAAAAAAAAAAAAAAAAAAAAAAAAAAAAAAACCCAAGGAGGTGAGCACTTGTCTGTTTTGCACTTCTAGATAGCAGGAGCTCAAGTAGCTAGTTTAGAGACAAGGCTAAGTTTGCTGATTAGAAGAGTCTATCTGCAGGGTGAAAGAAAAGCACAGATGCCTTCAGGCAGCAGCCACACTCATTTAACCGACTAGCATACAGAAAGAATAATAGTAAAGAGTGGGAAATGAAATGATGATAATGCACTAAAAGTGCCGTAGGGTGGCAGCAGTAGGCAAGGATTGAAATGGCAGCAAAATTAGTAAGGAGAAAAGCCTCCCGAGTCTTGCTTTTGAGTGCTCACCTGACAAATACATCAGTGAGAAGCAGCCAAATCAAGAAAACTCACCTGCAGACCAGCACCGACTGCCATGCAAGGGAATGTTATAACTGCTGTGTGTCCTTCAGGGAGATAGAGTCCTGTGCTTCTCCAGGCTGTCTTACCTAAAAGTTAAAACATTCCTGAACAGTCAGCACTTTTGCAGCCTAATGTCATGAATTGTAGAGGTCTCAAGCTGCAAAAAGAGAATATTTATCCTCTCTTGTCTGGCTCTGCACTCACAAAACTGTCTGGTGTTTTACCCAACCTGTCAGAAATACATTTCTGGTTTTAGAGCAAAAGGTATTATGTGAACAAGACTGTCAAAAAAATGACATGCTTGCCCACTCAAATTTGAACTTCTGAAAATGCCAAGCTTAAATGCACTTACCAACACCTTTAAAAACACAAAAAAGAAACTGAAACCCCAACACCTCCACTTGGATCCTCTCAAACTAAAGCTCTAATAAGAGAGGCATATTGCCATGATATTAAATACAATTGAAAAGTTAATAGTCATAAATCATTTCCTAAATAACAGACAGTGAAATTGTATTTTCTCTTCAGCCTGGTCCGCACAAGCTGAGGACAACACGAATTCCTATTCCTAGCAGACTGAAATTAGGAGAAAGCCTAAAAGGTCTATCCTATCCTAGGTAGAACTCTAAGTTGGATATCCCAGCATTCCAGTACAATTCATCAAGATTTTAGACAGTCTTTCCATAGAAATGCAAGTCTCCCCTGACTAGAAGATCTCTGTGGACAGCGGTGACACACAGTGCAAAGTTGATCCATCTCTATTGTACTGTCCAGACAAACTTCACTCACTAGTTCTCACATAACATTTATGCAAGTGTATTTCAGCACAAACAGTAACAGTCCTAAAAAGAGTTGTATGGTCATAAAACACACCCATGAGAGAATGACCATTTTTTTTTCCAGCAAAACTTTCTTCAAGAAAAAAAGTAAATATGGCAGTATCATGTCTCACCAAATACCATGTTCACTAAATACCATGTTTCAGCAATTTATCATGGTTTTGCTCAGCTTGCCCTGATAGCTTTTTTGAAGTACTGCTAACCATAAATCATGGTTTGCTGGCGTTTCCTTTTTTATGTGAAACTATACAAATACCAAATAATTTCTGGCAAAAAAAAAAAAGTGTTTAATCCAATGTGCTGAATTCAGTTAGTCCTAAACGATTTTCTGTTTTTGTCCTGGAGTCATTAGAGAACTGAAAACCGGTGAACCTCTCTAACATATTCAAATACCAAAAAAAAGAGGGACTCTCTCCAGGAAAAAGTAACTTACTAGTAGAACTACCTAGAGTTTAAACATACTGTTTACACACAAGAATCTTAATAGAGATATATAGACAAAAAACCTAAGTTTAGACTTCTTTTTCAGGATGTGATTATAAAAAACCTTGGCTTTAGTGACAAAACCAGCCTAAGAAATTCCCAACTTAATTCCAGACCTTCCAAACCACAACCAGTTGCTCCTTCAGTTGTGCTGACACTAATTGTGAGACTGTGCTGTAAGCTGGATTGAAATTCTCTGGATCAAAAATAACCCTTTGTGCCCAATTCAGATCTTTTGGGATAGCTATCAACAGGGCGAGGCCAGAACTTTAAGGTAGCTTTTTTGCCAAAACCATTATGTTGCACAACTCCCTTGAGGTGTCTCTATTAGGGGGTTCATCTCCCTCAGTGCCCTGAAGTCCAAGAGAGAGGGAGCTGAACAACCACGGGGTGTTTCAGAGCACTGCAATAGAGGTTGGCTGCAACAGGAGCCTGTCCGTCACTGCAGTGCCATCACCTTCCTCAGAAACCCAAAGCAACATTATACAAGTGTCCCCACATTCAGCCATGTGAGAACAGACACACGCGCGAGGGGGGTGGCTGCTCCCAGCAGCAGCATTCCTCGAGGGGGAGGGAGACGCTTCTCACCTGGGTTTGTGCCATCAATCTCCACAGTCACAGGGAGGTCACAGACCCCACAGGCGGGTTTCTGCACTAGGGCTGCACAGTCTGTCATGGCACAGGACAGCTCATTTGCTATGCAGAGAAGGGCAGCCTCTTTGGAGTTGCTCTGGACAGGGAAGTGCTGGCTGACAGGCGGAATGCCGCTCCTGCGAAGCACTTTGCTCAGGATGCGGTGGAGCGAGGCGTACGTAGGGCAGTCTTCGGCCGGGATGCGCAGAAAGGCAGCACAGTCTTGTGTCAGCCTTTGCAGCCAGTCCTTCAAGGGTCTTTTGAGCTCCTCATTCTTCTCTACATGCCTCCAGAAAAGTGAGAGTGCCTTGCGGAAGTGATAGTGCTCCCCGGGCACCACAGCTGGGTATTTGGCTGCCTTGATATTCAGACCCAGAATGCTGAGCCCGAAGTGATTGAGGATTTTGTTGCCAGGGTATTCAGCCACAGCAGCTTTGCTGCGGTTCTGGGAAGCCCAGTACCAAGCCTGGCCTCCAATGAGCAGGCCGCCTCCCTCCGCCACAAAAGCATGAATCTTCTCCACCTCTCTGTCGCTGTAGGAAGGGCAGCAGTACACGCTCATACCACTTGTCAGGTGTGACACCTGGAGCTTCATGTCTCCATGAGGGAACAAGTTACACAGTCTCTTCAGGCTGCCATCCACACCTACCAGCCCCTTCCTCCCCGCGTCCAGCCACTGGACAGCGTTGAGCAGGAATCCAGCCAACTTTGGGGACTGCAGCTGACTCTCGTGAGTTGCCACCACAACGCGCCCTTTGCCATAGCGCGCTGCGGCTACGAGACACCGGTGTGAGCTGTCCAGGCAGAGCGGGAAGGCGAGCACGCCGTGCACCAGCAAGCTGGAGGGTACACCGCCTGTCGCAACATCCAGCTCTGCCACGCCACGCAGCAGAAACTCAGCATCGAGGCTGAGATTGGCATGATGTCTACAAAACCAAGAGACATCAGAGTTAGCCCCAGGCCCACAGTCTTTTACACAAGAGTCTGCCTTGTCCATCCACGTCTCTTCTTCCACCCTCACCTTAGTACATCACATTGTCAGTTCTAGCAGTTTTAAAAATGCGTTTATGTTTCCTTTTAAAGCTTCAGGCTTGGAGCTCAAATACCTCTGCAAGAATCTCAGCATTCATTAAAAAAAAAATAAAAAAGTCAAAAGGATATTTCTAGGCCTGTGGCTTTGAAGAGCAGCTTAAAAATCCTTCTAAACACATCACAGAAGCTCAAAAAATAGAAGGCCTTTCATATATTTTAATCAGTCCATTGAATGTTTAAACCTTGATGTAGAGATTGGCAAATCTCTTGTAAGGAAAACTTCATCCATTTAACTCGCCCTAGAAATCATCAGCCATCAAAGCCCAAAAGATTTCTATTTCCTGGCCTCTACTGACTTATTTATTATAAACAAATAAATAATAATAATAATAGTAATAATAAACTAGACAGATAGGCATACAGACAATGAGCGACTTGAAGAGGACTTAGGCTCCTTACACACACTCCTCAAATTTCCATCTGTTGACCTCTACCATATAAAGTCATTTTATTGTGCATGACCCTCCTCTTATCTCCACATAGCTCCTGTATGTCACCATGGACTGGAAAGCATCTTGTTATATGGCCTTTGCAGCCAGCTCAGTGAGAATAAATGATTCAGCCCTTCTGCACACTCACAGGACCGGAATCAAGACTGCAGCTCTCCTTTATCAGTTTACTCCAATCCTTTACCACAGGACAGGTCTCAGACATATGGCACAACAAAAGCACCACAGAAGCACCCTAAAGAAGCTGTACTTCAATTACCTTTTTAAACAGTGTTAGTTGCTATGTAACTTTTCTCTGGTGAATTTTCCATCCCCCTCTCTTTCTTATCTGCCTGTGAACTGCAGCTGGGGAAAAGGGTCACTCAGAAAATTGTAATTAAATTTTTTTTTTTTTGGGGGGGGGAGGACTGTGTCCTAAGCATTTTTCTGAATTCAACAGCAGAGCTTTCTGCTACCTTTACTGGGACATAAATTCAGCATCCAGTAAGTATCAGATCCAATAATTTGTTGCAGCTTAGTTTCATATATATAAAAGAAAAAGACTGTGAGGAAAGAAAAAAAAAAAACTCGTGGGTAGTCTTATTATAATGTGCGATATGAAGTGCGATGGAACTGCCACTCAGAGGAAGCAACACAGCATGCATGCTCCTCAAAGACTCCACTGCACTTCACCTCTGGAGAAGGCCGTGGGAGCTTGGCACACTAAATGGGGACAGAGATAAGAAAGACAGCACCCAGCATTCTGGTCACTTGTCTGTTCTGTGATGTCAGTCACAAGAGCCCTGAATTTTATACATGTGCTTTAGGTCCCAAAGGAGCACTCTGGAACCCCAAATCATCTTGGAGCACAGAGGCTTCCTGCCCATAGAGAAGGGATGTGGCATTGGCCCAGCCTCCTCAGCTCTGTACCCACCCTGAGGCTTCACTTACACCAGTAAACTTCTGCAAGAAACAGGTTGAACAGGTTTAATAGCTGCCAGCCAGAGCGTGTCTCAGAAAACTAGCCAGATATTCCATCTCAAATCTATTTTTTAACCATGGGAAAGCCACAGTTGCCCTGAATGTACAGTTCTGGGGGCAAGGAGAGGAGTTACTCTTCGCTTCCCCAGGTTGCTGCATGTTGCACACAGATGCATTTGGCTGTTATCATAAAGGCTGTTCTAAATACTGGCTACCCTCATTTCTTGCCCCAACTGATTTCCCAGGGCCTTCCCAGCAACCCTGGAAGCAGTCAGAAATCATTCTTTGAGACAGGAAATAGTAAGAAGATCTCTCTTAAACTTCAGGATAAAAATTGCATCCCTGTCTACTAAAGAACCAGGATTCCTCATCATTCTCATCTCTTAACTCAAGAATCTAGTGTAAGCATCTCACCTGTATAGCTTTATCAGATAGCTAGATAGACATAACAGTTCAGATACTCACGGGACAAGTAAGGGAATCTTTGGTATCTTCTTTGAAACTTTGAAGATCCCCTTTCCTACAGAGTTTCCAGTGAAATACACACCAGCCACACTGGTCACCTGGTTCCCAGGAAATTCAAACAGCACCTTCTCCTTGCCATGTTGGCTAGCCCAGTACCAGGCCTGGCCTCCAATGAGCAAGCCCCCACCTTCCTTTACAAAGTGAATCAGGTTCTTTGCCTGAGTACTGTCATAGGCATCCATACAGTACACACCCAGAGAGGTGCTGAGCTCTGCTCCGGCCTGCACTTTGGTGCCAGCCCCGAGGAGCAGCTTGGAGAGGGAATCCAAATGATGATGGACTCCAACCAGCGCCCCAGGGCAGGGCTTCAGCCAATCCACTGCATTTCTGAGAAACTGGGAAAACTTGGAGTCCTTTAAGATTCCCTCATGAGAAACAACCACCATCCGGCCCTTCCCATACTGTGAAACAGCAATCAGAACTTGTTTTTGAGGGCTCACAAGCACAGGGAAGGCATCCTTTCCAGTTAGCAGCAGCTCACAAGGAACAAAGCCTCCAGAGAAGTCCCATGGCCCAACAGCATCCACTAACAGTTCATAGGTAGCAGCGAGTTTCATCTTCAGGTCACACTACCTGGTAGAGAGAAGACCAACATTCACTACAGGATGGTGTGGCTCTAAAGTACTACTATTGACAATACTGCAAGGCTGTTTCTTTGTTGTCTAACAGTAACTCCAAACCCAACATGAATAATTTACTGGAAGCAACTTCACAAGAACAACTCTTCAGGGACTCTTTTTTTTATTTATTATTTAGTTATTATATTATTTACCATTTCAAAAAAAGTGGCAAGTATATATATGACAGCAAAAGAGACTGATGTAACAAATCCAGCTATTCATCATGACGAAGATCAAGTAAATATGGGTGCTTGGGACCTCTTCCACTAACAATATATATAGGGGAGTGGGAGGGTTAGAGGCTTCAGACATTCTGTTAGGAACTTCCTTAACAGTGGTGTTTTACAAAGAAAGAGAAACTAAAATGGTCGAAGCAATACAGATGTTGCTGAAGGTAAAGAACTTATCAGCACAATAATTCCAATATGCAGTTCCACTTTTCTTCCTAACTGAATATATAGAGACCTACGCCTACAGTTGCTCCAAGATGAGCTTCCAAAGTCATGCTTTTCCACATGCATTAAGACACTGAAAGAAATGGGTACTATAAAGTACCTGGAGGGGAGGAGGAGGAGGAGGATCAGTATAAATGATGGAAGACAATCAACACCCCTGGAAGAACAGGGACTTGGAAAACAGGTCTTGGAGCAGGAAATTCCTTCCCTAGTCCCCTGCACTGAACCGCCACATCATCTCCGTGAAATCATTTCCCTTCTCCATAGCTTTGTTTCCCCATCAGTGAAGTGAGGCAAATGGTACTGACCTCAAATTGCCAGGTCCTTTGAGGTCTATGGGTGAGATGTGCTCTATTTAGGCTCCCCCAGTTTGAAAGCTTATCTTCTTCAGCAAAAACAAAACAAAACAAAAAAATCCCCGATGCTGAGCCGGGACTGCTGTGTAACAGACTGTGCAAACAGGACAGTTTTGAGGCGGAGTGCTTAAATTAGACCCACCCCAAGGCTGACTCAGAGCAGAATGCCTACGGCAAGAGAAAGAGCTGCTCCGAGGCGGGGTGGCCCTCCTCCTGGTTGTGAGACATACCAGCACTGGAGGGACACCTTCTGGTTTTCAATTTCATATGTGCTACCCTGAAAACTGTCCTTAGTGTGCAAACACAGAGAAACGGAGTCATCGTGGAGAAGCAGCATCCTCACTACAGATTTATTCATCGCAAGCTCAGAGAAGCTCAGAAACTGTAACCTGATCATGAATGACAGCATAATTTCCCCTGGCTTGTCCTCTGGACATGCCTGAAATTTCCTGTTTTTCTCTGAAGCGTTTCTGAGACTCCAGAATTGTTTAAATATGATTTTTTTTCCATTGTTTTAAATACAATTTTTCAGTGCAAGCTGCCAACTAGCGCGGGGGGAAAAAAAAGCTATATCACCCAGAAATTTATCACTCGGTTGTTTACCTATTTTGAATTGCTTCCCTGTGTTTGAATGAGCACTAAATTTAAAGGCTTAGCCAGAATCAGGTGTGGCTGTTTGCCGAAGGATTTTAACTTTCTTAATAGGATATAACTATCATGCTATACTTAGAATTACCAATTTCTATGTATTTACAAATTCACACCTATTATCGCATTAACCATTTAGTTACTCACTTTTGCATAAACATAGAACTGAAGTACTCAACTGCTTTCAACTAATTTAGCATCTTTAAACTGAAGTATTGTAACAATTTGCCACAGTATGGTTGATATTGGTGCATATGAATGTTGCCCAGTTCAAATTCATATTCTTCTTTGGAATGATTAATCAGCTAATAAATCTTTGCTCAAACAGCCACGCTTCTCTTAGAAATTTACATATCCAATAACAGTTAAGGCATGCAGGTATGCAACTTTGCCCAGTCTGTCTATCCACTTCTCCCCTGAAGAATCACTAATTCAAATGGGGGAACCTCCTCCACCTACTGCAGCCTAACTCCAAAAAAATTTATACTCCCAGTTCAGCTCAATCACAAAGTGCTTTTGACTTGAAAGACAGTTAGTGAGCAAGCAGGAGCCATAGATGAGAATTTTTTTGCCTTATAATGTGTCATAAGTTAGTAGCAGTAGGAGCACCACAGTGAGGGGACACAGTCTAATGAAATACACGCCAGGTTAGAAACTTACATGCACACTGTGCAAAATAATCAGCTTTTCCTCAGACTTTTGTTCAATCTTCAATTCCTTAGCAAGTAAGCGCCACTACAGATAATTTCTGTGTCCATTCTCATGATTGCAGGGGCCTCTTCATATGAATGGCATTATGTTAAAACACTGCATTCATATCATGGGAGCCAAGCTGAAATAACAAAGTGTAACTTCTTGAGGAAATGTGAACAGCTTGTATGGCATATAGCTCGTTGGGGTTTTCCTTTACAGACAAAACTGTTCACAGTGATCTAGACCATGGAGTTACCCTATAAGTCCCACAGTAATATCAGTAACTGTTTACGGCTTGCTTGTTTTTGTGTTTCTACAGCATGTATAGATTTTCAGTGTGGAGAAAATGAATGTGGCACACCTGTTGTATGCATATACCCATTCTATGGGACTCAGAGCAGACACAACAAAAGACAAGCCTCTCTTTGTAGAGAGACAGGAGAGGACTGGCAAGGAGAATGAACACCAAGGTCCAACAAGAATTACAGAAAGATGCAGAAGACCGAGATCTACGTCATGTGAATCTGAAGGAAACAGCAACTGGTTCAAGGCATGCACAGCAGGAAGAGAATGATCTTGACTCCCTTAGAAACATGAAGTGCAAAATCTCTGCGACAATGTTGGAATTAGTTGCAGACTCCCCTTCCCATTCCTTGTCTTCCTCCTGTCCCTTCCACCTCTAATCTCTAGACAAGTTCTCAGTCTCTCCAGAGAGAAGGATATCAAGAGTAAGGTTTGCTGCATACATTCATAGGTAAAATGTTGGAGATTGTAAAATACACGCGAGGGACACAACACAAGGCTCAGGGCAGCCACGGGAAGGATCCCCAGCGAGGAACATATGCAGCCTGCTCAGCGAGAGAGGGAGACCTGATGGCTGTTCTCCCTGAAGAGGGGACGTTGTTTTGATTCCCTCCTTTGCAGTCCAGCTGTAAGCACAGTATTCAAGCACCTAGCTTGCTGCAAGGCCTGTAGATAGAAAAGAATAGTATGGCATGAAGAATGGTGCTGGTCCTTCTAATACGTTTCTTAATACAATTGTTCAAAATGAGGAATGCTGATATTCAGCATTTGCTGAAGAGACAAAATGACTTACGTTCATTATGCCCGTTCATTACCAAGATGAGAGTTTCAATTAGGGAGAACATACCTTAATTAAGAAATTGAGTAGGAGATCATATAGACTAACAGCTAACCCATAATCTGGGACAGACTAGGAGGCCCAAGTGGATTATCCACAAAAAGTTCTCTGAGGCAGGGAAAACAATCTGGGGCATGCCGCTTTTCAGAGTGCTGAACTTTAGAGCTCAGCTAGTCTCTGTGGGCTCCATTTTTATCAGAGAAAAGAAACAAGCAATTGCAGGAAGCAATCGGTGTGGCCTACTTTAAGCTTCTTCAGCATGACATGGATCACTTCCTACACTCCACTGCCTGGGTCTCTGCTAATTATAATGGGAGCTAAGAACAATTACCTCTGATGTAATCCTTTCTAATTAAATGAATCCCATCTCAGCAATCCAAGGCTTACATGAAGAAATTAAATGTCACTGAACTCCAAAAAATGCCTTATTTCTTTCTTCTCAGCAAGATCATCTGAGTTCAGTGTGACAATGCCCTTGCTGGCAAGGCAAGGCTCACTAACTTACTGTAAAAATGTCACACATGCTTAGTAAACCATAGTGTGAGTGTAAAATTAACACAGGCAAAAACTGAAAATGCACCTGAGAATTCTGCTTCATAGAAATCTGTGTCTATACAGTAAGAGTAAGCAGGCTCAAGAGCTGGCTTAGGCACACAAACGACAGCCTAGGCTGATGTTAGGGCAGTTATTCAGTATTCAGGCTTTTCCCTGCCAGTGGGTCTGGAACTCGATCGAAGCCTATGCCCAGCATGTGCTCACACACGAACAGCATTCAGAATAGCTGGGGATATTTGAGAATAGGCTCAAACCTGCGCTTTCCTGAAGACGGGATCAATGACTTTCTGGACTGCGTGTCCCAGTTGTGTTCACATGCTTCTCCACCCCCGCCTTCAACACCTGTGAAAACAGAAGTACGATGAAGCCACCAGCGCTACAACAGTAAGCCAAGAAACTTAAGACCAACTAATGTGCAACAAAGATGGTGAGAAAAAGCACTACGTTCAGGTGCAAGAGATCAAACGCGAACAAAAATACAATACCTGAACTTGGTCAACAGTTCTTCTCAAAGAGCTTATCAGAACAGTGGTAAAGACAACATTTATTGGAGATGGAAGGAACTAAGCAATAAAGAATAAACAGAATAAATAGAGGCTTGCACAGGAAATATAAGTCGGGAAAAAAGAAACAATAAAGAAAGCCTTCTTATGTTACTTAACGATATCAAAGAAACAAAGATAAATACATCAAGAGGAAACTAAGAGCCAGAGGAAAAGTAGATGAAGCTGTAAGACTAATGGATCTAAAGCAACAATTAAAAGCTGGATTCACCAAGAAAAACATCACAAAACCCTTCGATAGGGTATATATTTGAAAGGCAGAAGCCAGATGGACAAAAAAAGTTAGTTCCTACAAATTGACAGAACCCATTTTTAGTATGAACACATCAGAATCAACCAGACAATTACTATTTGTAATTTTTTACAGTGGTTTCCTACAGCACTTTACAGCAGTAAATTAAAAAATACTACAATTTCCAAGCTTAGTAAAACATTGCTGTGTTTTAATGAAAGAACCAAGAATTGCCTGTGCTTTCTGGTGATGTTAGCAAGTATTCATTAGGGTACTGGCTACTGTGCAAAGAAACAGAGAA